TCATATTCAAACCATGACAAGGGTTAGGACAAAAGAGACTTCAACAAGGCCAAAATATTCCTGGCTTATTTTAATCTTCTATCAAAGATTGAGGCACATTCTTGATATTAGCATGTGATTGTGATACACCATATACCATTCTAAGGATTTGTTCTACTACATATAATATGGTGGAAAAGTATGCAGACAATTATTTTAAGGCAATGGTGGCAGCTGCAATTCAAGATGGCTGCATTCACATCAGGCTAAATCCACATATATTTCAAGTAATATCAAATGTCAGGGCATCTTCTTATGTTATAAATCTGTATTGAAACATCTTTTCTGAAAAAGAGTCTTTTGTGGTCTCTAGAAAAATATTATTCAACATTAAAACAAAACTATAAAGAGAATACACAACTTTTATATGAATCATTACATTGAAACATCTCACTTCTTTATGTCCAGTTCAATTCTGTTCTCAAATATTTGCCCAGATAAAGTAAATTTATTTTTGACTATTTCTATTTGCACCACACTTTTCAATTTAAAAGTGTTTTCATTAGCATGTTAACTTTTTCCATTTCAAACTATATTTCATATTTTTATTGTGCTTTAAGTAATATATATTTTTCTTTACCAAAATATAGTTCAGTATACATAAACTTATTTAAATTTGCATACATAAAAGTGCACAATTCATAAGAGCACACATTAATTTCATAAATTGCACTGGGTCATATAACTCAAATCAGTATCTGTAATTTAATAAAACTCCAAAAACATTCTCTACCATCTTTAAAATCATAACTCATCTCTAAAGTGTAAGCAGTTTATATTCACTTTTAACAGAAAGATATATTTTGTTTGCCTTTTGTATTTTCTTTAAGAAACTATATAACTTTCACTGTGTGTATTTAGTTTCCTTTTCATTCACGTTGTTCTATGTTTCATTCATGTTGTTCTATGTTTCATTCACGTTGTTCTATGTGGTATAATTTGTTGGTTTCCCTTGTTATATACTGGCTTGCGGTGTTAATATAGTACAATATATTTATCCATTCTACTGTTGATAAACACTTTTATTGCTCATTGAGGTTCTTAAATGACACTTGCTAATCATATTTTTTGTATAGACAGTATTATGGTAAACATCCATATGAAGGCCTATTGGATCACAACAAGGGCTTTTTCTACTTACATAAAATGTAAGCTTAACAAACATGCCAAGATGGCTTCCAAATTAGTTATGAAATTACACTCTCACCAAAATTGCAAGAGAATTCTTTTTGTTTCACACATTGAATGTGATTTTTGGTCTTTAAAAAATAATTAGCTATCCTCACAGCATGTAAGAGTATTGCATTTTATTACTATTTATATTGCCTTTTAACTCCTTGTGTATAATTTCATATTTTTATTGAACATTTAAATATATATTTAAGGGCTGCCTCTTTATAGTTTTCTGTCTTTTGACTATTAATGTTTTAGATATGAATTTTTGTTGAATTTAAGTATTTAACAATGTTTATCCTCCCTGATGGCCTCATCCTATTAATGCTACATTTTCATAAGCACAGCTTCTTAATTTTAGTGTGATGAAATTTAATATTTTTCGCTTGGATGTTCTTTTAAAGAAATAGATAATTCAAGGACAAAAGATAGTGTAAATTATCTTCTAAGATTTTTATTCCATTACTTGTAACATTTAAATTTATATTATATTTGAAAGTATTTGGGGCAATTGTACATTCTCAAGCACATTTAAATAGCTAGAGCCATTTTTCAGGAAGGTCACAAGTTATAAATTGCAAAGTGCATCATTTTCTTCATAGATAGGTCATCATATATATGTGAATTATTATCTGCTATTGTATGTTACTCCCTTGGTCTACTGATCTAACTTTTGACAAGATTGCTGGCTTAAATGTTGTAGCTTCCAGCTTTATCTGTTTTTTTGGTCAGTCCCATTTCTATTATTTCTGACAATTTAACTTTCTTCATGAAGTTTAGAATCGTGTTTTAAATTTTTAAAAGACATGATTTTCCCTGAGATTGAATTCAATCCAGATATTAATTTGAGGAAATGAAAACCTTTAGAGTAGAAGTCCCCCAAATGAAAGGCAAAAGACAAAAATGTCTTTCAGTTTCTAGAGAAATATTTAGCTGTCAGAACTGGAAAATAATACTGGTATCTTGAGGGCTGCAACAAAATAATGCTATGAAACATCCTTCAATCTACTAAGGTGATTCATGTCTCCTACCATGTACAGAAACCAAGATATCCATGTTACAAATGTCCAGAAGTTCTACCATAGGGGCTGGGGATTTAGCTCAGCAGCACAGTTCCTGCCTGGCAAGTGCAAGGTGGTGAGTTTGATTCCAGTTACTGGAAGAAAAATAAACAAAACACCAGAAGTTCTACTACAGCAGATTATGTTCTAATGTATGAAAGTCATATATTTATTCCTTTGTACAGAATATACTTTTTTATTTTCCTAACCAATATTTTTATTTTTAATTATGGAGGTTTGCATATTTTCATTATATGAATTCTTAAGAATTTGATGAATTTTTAAATGTTATTAAGCATTTTCATTTTTTTAATTGCTTATTGCAAGTAGAGTCTCCTTTATCCACAATTTTTCAATCAGTGGCTTCAATTAGTCACTATCAAAAATAGTAAGTGGAAAATTCCAGAAATAAATAATTTGTATGTAGTTTTGTGGGAAGTACTGAGTAATATGATAAAATTGTGCAGCAGAGTAGAATATAACTTGTTCTTTCCAGCTCACCCGTAAGGTAGCTACCACTCACTCATTAGTCATCTTATCAGATCCACTGAGTTCTGCTTTTCAAAAATTTTTATTTTACTTAGTAATGACACCAAGGCTCAAAAGAAGCTATGCAGATTATATTTTTATAGTATATTGATATAAGCATGAATTGTAAATTAGTTATTGTTAATTCTTTACTATACCTAATTCTTAAGCTTTATCATGTGTTTCTGTAATAAGAACCATATTATAAATTGTGGTTTCAGGTATGCTGTGGGAACTTTAAAACCTGTTTCATTGGGATAAGGAGTGGCTAGAGCATATATAAATAAAACATATTTAAATAAACCACATGTAAATAAAACAGATTTATTTATATTGATTCAAAATTCATAATCTCAGTAATTTCTCATATTGATTATTTCCGTAGGGAAAAGTTTCATCACTAACTGGGGGTTTATTTATTTTAATGTTTTGCCTCCATATATATCTTATTTCATTTCATTTTTTACTCTCTTATTTAAGGTTCTGCTAAATGCCAAATGGAAATATTTATAGTGGCTTTCTGTGCCTTATTCCTGATTTTAGATAGGAAACTGTCAGCAGTGCCAGTAATTCATTTTGTTTAGGAGATCAGTTTTGGTGTTTTTCTAATATTTTAATTACTCACAAAACATTTCTATTGTGTTCCTAGAATTTTGATTATTGAAATATTTTTCTGAATTTTTAAAGGCTATCATATAAATTTTTACATTCTTTTTTCTAATGAAGCAGACTAACTTGAATGCTAGAAAAACAAATCCTCTCCCAAAAATACCTATTTTAATGAATTTTATATTTTAGTTTGTTTAACTTATGGCATTTTAATGTTTTATTTAAGTTCATTGGAAGTATTCATATATCACTTTAATCTAAATTTCATATCTGTAATCTAGATCAGTTTTCTCAAATGCCTTCTGAAATTTTACGTTTTGTATATTTGGGAGGAATTTTGAATGGTAACTATTACCTTATTTTGTATTTGTTAAGAATTTTATGGATTGAGAGTGCATATGTTTGTAAGAGCTCATGTTTAGGTTCAATGAAACTTGGGGTTTAATATCAATAGATCTTACGGCTTAGACTGAATTATCCACAAAAGACTGTGCTTGTAGGTCAGGCTTTTGTAAGATGATTGGGACATGTGGGGTGTGTACTCATCAGTGAACTCATTCACTGATGAATTTATAGCTGAATATTCTTTTACCAGATGAGGCAGGTCACTGGGAGGCATGACATGACAGGGTAAATTCCTCGTCCTGGTTCCCTTACCATTTCCCACCTCCCATTAAATGAGGAGTTATCATTCATAAAATTCCTCCATGCCCCTTTTGCCTTTGAGCAATGATGGTGGATTTCTTAGAGCTTTCAATGATATAAACAGCCTACTCAAGCATGTGTGCCATAGGTTAACCACCACTGCCTTAGAACAAGGATAAACCTTCAAAAACTATAATCCAAAATAATTGTATTCTCCTTTGAGTTGTTTGTTTGGAGCATTTTGTCCAAGTGGGAAAGTGAATACTATAGAATGGCTGTAACCGCGTGGTATCATTGCTGTGGATGCACTGATAATGCTCAAAACTATTCGGAAGCAGTTTTTAGAAGTTGGAAAGTTTGGAGCTGGAAGCTAGTGAAGCCATGCAATGTTGCTTGATAGGTGCTATTGTTCAGACGACCAGAATGCTGATAGGAGTGCAGATAGGAAAGGCCAGGCTCATGATGTTCCAGTGGAGAATGAGAATTCTATTGAAAACTGGAGAAGAGTCCATGCATGTTTATTTTTGGTAAATAATTTGTTTATATTTTCTCAATTTCCTAAAACCGTGTGAGATTGAATTTAAAGGTAGTGGACTAATCAATCTTGTAGGAAAAATTTCAAAGCACTCCAATTTTTAGACTGTGGCATGGGTATGTGAGGTTGCTTTCAGTCAAATCTACTAAAAGAACGTAGAGCAAAGAGCAGTGTTAAATGAATTGAAAAACTTGCAGCTATCCCAGGAAGGAAATTCCTGTAACTCTGGAAACAAGGAAAGTTTGATTTATTAAAAGTCTAGCTCTTCTGCTAAATCAGGGCCACCTAATGAAGTTCTCTGTCTCATATACTCAGAGGCTTTTGCAGGCATGGGCCAAGTGAGGTAAGCTACTGTCCAAGCTGATGGTAAACGGTGCAGTCACCTGTCTGTTTTCTCTTTAAGCATGCAGATTGAGTTGTGGGTTCATGGAAGCTTCCACCTATATTTCAAAGGAAGTCCTGGGAAGCCAGGTAACGTGATCCTGAAAGTGCAATGTATGAAACTGTGAGAGTGAAGCAAAAGATACAGTGAATACCCAAGAGGTAGAAAATACCAGGAATATGGTTCATGTGTTGAGCAGAGCCTCAGGCAGAGAGCAGAGACAGCCTTAGTGGGAGGCCACATGGGCCGCAATCAGCAGGTTCCAAGAATGGGGATGCCCAAGCTTTCTAAAGTTTACCTCTGTTTTTATCTTGTCCCAGGGTTTGGACATGAAGCTTCGGAATGTATTGTTTTCCCTGATGAGTTTGTTCTTGTTTTGGTTAATCTCTGTTCTTTCCCCACGCTTCTCCCTTTTGAATGGAAATGTTTATCCTACACAAAAATATATTTGCAGAATTTAAAAATGTTTTTGGATTTCACAGGACCTCACAGCTAAGAGTTTGCTGTGAGCCTCAAAGGAGATTTTGAACATGGACTTTCCAGCAGCACTGAAATTATTAAAAATGTTGCAATGCCTAGAGATGAACTAAATGCATTTTTCATAATAAGATAGACAGACGCTTTTGTGAGGCCAGGGAAGGAATGTTATGGTCTAGATTTAAAATACTGCCCTCCAAAATCTCAGGTGTTCAGAGTTGGCACTTTTGATCTGTGACTGGATCATGGGAATACTATACTCATCACAAGGCAAATGTATTGATCAGTTCATCGGTGAGTGTGTTCTTACATGGTGGGGCTTTGTCTGCAGAGGTCAGGCACTGTGGAATATGACCCAAAAGGTTATACCATTGTCCTGTGCCTCCCCCAACCCTGGCTGCCTTGAGATGAGCAGCTGTCATCATCCATGCCATTCCTTTGCCTTTGAGCCAGTCAACCTTGGACTGAACTCTCAAAAACCACCAACTAAAATAAGCCTCTTCACTTTTAAGGGGATTATTAAAAGCCTAGTGTCAGAGGTTGTTTTTGTTTTTGTTTTTGTTTTTGTAATAGGAATGGAATTCTTGACCTTACACTTGCCAGACAGGTGCTTCCACTGAGCTATATCCTCAGCTGTGTCCCAGTGATATCACTCATACAATAGCAACAATAATGGATATAACAATGAGCGTTTATTTACAAAAGAAATATTATGTTACTTACTCAACTAAAGCTTGATATTATCTAATGTCTTAAACATTTAATTGGGTTAAAAACCATCACTTCTATATGCCTTTTATTTTCCATATACCAGCAACTAAATACTATATCATCCATATTATATATTTTTCTTTTAAAATCCCAAATCAACTTCTTAAGAAATAAAGCTTTAGTATGAGCCTATCATTGTTTCAAGTTAGCTTCATAAAGTATAGTACTTTCTATTCTCCCAATGAACTAATTTGAGGAAAATAATAAAGCACATTCTATTTACTTAATATCCTGGAGTCCAATGTAGAGACCACTTTTAGTCCGTATCTCTGAAATATTATCCAAATAGTTTTATTAAGAAAACTGATTCTACCACAAAGAGTAAAAATGAAATCAGGCAATTTACCCTATAACTGTGTGGATTTTTATTTGTATTTTTGCCAAATCACTGTGTGCTCATTCTTGTTTCTAAGTGGCAAAATTTTATAGCAGATGAGATTTGTTCTCTCTCTCTCTCTCTCTCTCTCTCTCTCTCTCTCTCTC